TTTGTTAAACCACACCATGTTATTGGGAATGGTGGATTAACGGGGCTCCACTGTACTTTAATTTGCCAATGTTGAAAATTTTAATTTTATGTTATTAAGTAGGTAGTATTCCTCTATAAACAGGTAGCAGATATTGTTTATTTGCTATATTTACTTAGTTTCATTTCAGTAAACACATATTATAATATATTTTAATGCAGTATTTATTTACAGTATATGATAATAAAAATTTATGAATGAATTAAGTGCAGTGTGAATAGATAACCAAACTATGCCTTCTTTTTGAGCGTGTTGGATTTCTTAGTCTTACAAAATTATTAGTCAAGTATATTTCAGTGTGTACAGATGAATAATTTTGAATAAGCACCAGGGTTTTTAAGTATACATGGCTTGCTGTGTTTATATTGAATAATAAACTTGGCAATATACATGTAAAGATTTGAGATGTATTGCAATAGGTTTTACATTGTGTAGTTTTATATCCTGTATTAAGCGGTAGGTTTTATTTATTTCATTTGATATATCAATCAAACTTAATAAGTGGAATTGTTTTGAAGTGCTATATTTATTTGTGGTTGTGATTTTTTAAGATGTTTCTTCTTTACATGAGCTTCATTTTTGCACAAAAGTATAAAAACCTAATCTGAAGTTTAAGGGACATTATGAGGGGTTGATTTTAGTTTAAATTGTCTTTAGAAGTACTAGAAATGTATGACAATTACATAATTCCTTTAAAAAATACTTCAAACTAGGAATTTTCCTCACTATTTCTATATATGTCTTTTCTATATATCACAGAGTATCTTAAATTGACGAGTCGTCATTTTAACATTCAAACGCAGATAATTCTGGTCTTACATGGATTTAAAGGCTCAAATTTTGACGCTGAACTGTGAATACTGATTGGCTCAGCTAAAATATTCCTGTATGAGGTTAAAGTACGATTTGTCAAGAAAATGGCACACCTGTCCCTTTAAGAGAGTAAAAAGAAACTGTAATAGAGTTAATGGCTTTTTACATTGTTGTCAATAGCGTTGCCAATGGCGATACATTGTGCCCCCCTAAAAAAGTAGTTTGCACCAATTGTACCACCAATTTACTTTTAGCAAATTTAATTTACGTCTTTTTCCCTAAATATGTGTCAGAATTCACCAAAACATTTAATTCTTCAAAATTTTCGAAGAACCCTCTCCGACATTCCATAAGAGGCTTGTGATTATGACGCCCCTACAGAGTTTCCGCATTTTGAAAACAGCCGGTAAAATTGTAGGCCTACCATTGAGTTCGTCTGTCCCATATGTGTACCCCCAGCCACTGATTGTTGCATGCTTTGTGATAGGGTGTGAAAGAAATTCCTCATGCAAATGAAGTGCTAGTTTGAATTATTTATTTAATAGTTGGTATATGCCTGTAAAATGTGTAGAATAGTTGTATTATCAGGCAGTGTTTTTGAAGACTTTGAAAAACTTTGATCTAAGTAATTGCACTTCAAAGCTAAATTATTTATCACCAAATGTAAACAACTTTAATATTTTTGCTAAAACATAATACTTTGTGATCTTATATATGTATTTGGTGTCACTTAAAGTCCATGTTTTGCCATTTTTAAGAGTACCATGTTCTCAAAAACAAGAATTGTTCAGCTTAGCTAGTCATTAAAAGTATTCACAGCTTACAGTCCAAATTTGAGCCTTCTTTGTAATGTAAATCCATAATTATCCGTCTTTTTAGGAGATGTTATATTTTGAATACAGTATATCCTGCTCACGCGACCACCTTTATTCAGCAATAATTTTCAATGTAATTAACGACTGATAAGTGAACACCTTCATTCGGGCGACCAGCGACCGTGTATTTGCACTCCCGTGTAATCATATTGAGTCAATTAAGCGACCATGACACTTATTACCTCCCTTGATTAAACATCGCGTTGTTTCACACATTGGTGAGATTAATAGAGATTTTCGCTAATCGGTCTAAGGATTAATTTTATAGCTTGTTAATGATTAATGTCTGTCTATTATCGATATAAAAAGGCAGCTAAGCATGAGCCATTCATATTCAAAATGTCAAAGCCTACAGTAAAGGTTTAACATTAAATGAAAGGGTCAAGGTCATCATCTTGGCGAAAGCCGGGAAAAGTGGTCGACAAATTGCCGATGAAATAGGTGTTGGAAATTATGGAGGATTTTGATTTGATTTTCTCCCGATTGGAAACGTGTGAAGCGGTTCACCGGCAATGAAGAAATCAACAAATTAACTTGGGAGTTTTTTTAAAGACTTTCCTGCTGGAATGCTGTAGTAAATGGACCATTGTTAAAGGAATAACATTGTTTCAGCCGACTCAATTCTCTCATAAGAGACCACCTCCAGTAAGAGACCGTCTTTGAATTTTCCCCTGCGTGATCTCTTATACAGTTTTTACTGTATTTGTTGATGACGTCTTGTGTAGAAAGTAAGAGTGAATCATCCAGCCCCACTTTAAGCATAAGGTGTTCAATTTTTGAATTTCTTTGAGGTAGTCAATGGTCAACTAATATTGAATTATTGAATCATATTCTTGCAGACAGATCTTCTTTAAAAGTTTCAGCGTATAATAATGTCTAATGGAGACCCCAAATAAATATTTTAGAGAAAACTATTGAGGTAGCTTTGTATTACAAATTGATGTTATGTAAACTCTACTACTCATGCTTTAATTTTGTATCAAACTACTAAATATTTGTCACCTTGTAAAGGTCAGGCTTTAGTTACAAATACTGTAATTTCACTTAAATAGGATATCTTATAGGCTATCCTAGTCTGTAGTCATTTGGTTTTGTCGTCTGTTAGCAATTAAAGTGCCTTTGGATAAAAACTCCGCAAGGTAAGCAAAATTCTGGTACCAGAAACTGTGCCTTCGAATATCTACCTGGTGTTGAGTAGTCATTTCCTTTAATTTTGGTCTTGTAAAATTTTGAAATACTCTTTACCCATGCATTGAAAACTTTTATTTAACAAATAAGTAAGGTTTAAAGTGATACTATGTCTTAAAATGATCAATATGAGTATATATTCATTAGTAAACTTACCTGGTGTCATAAAGTTACAACAGAATCCCTGTAAAATCTGGAAAATTAGAAACTTCATAAAACTAAGTAATTATTGAAAAACGCTTAATCTTAATATTAAATGTTTTTCAATAGTTAATTGCATATTTATGGACAATTATCAAGTTTTTTGGATTTATTGAATAATATAAGGATCCTGTTATGTTATTTATGACACCAGGTATATCTACTGATGAATATATACTCTTATTTGAGTGATGTAAACAATATCACCATATTTTACTGTGATCTATTCAGGATTTAGGTGATATACAGTAGGGATATTTTATTTATTTACTAATAAAATAAAGATATTTCTTGTATTGTCATTGATAAACTATACTTCCTAGAGTCATGTAACTTATAGCAAGTGTAGTGTATCTAATAAATTTTGATTCCATAACAGTTACCGATGAAGGTTAGGGATTAAATTTCTAATAGGTTGAGATTGTATAAGGTTTCATTGTGGTTATGGCAAAACAGTTGATCATACCAGGAAGTAAATTGAGGTTTGATACAGTGTGCATGCTGTGCTTGTCAAATTTCACTCATTACATATTGAGTGACGAAAGTCTGACAGGGTTGATATTCAAAAAATAATCTTATGTGTTCATATTTTCTCTTTGAGTTTGTTCGACTAAAGACTGATTTATGTTGAAAAGTTGACAGTATTTGTAGTTTGTTTGCTATCAAATATTGTCAACTAATTTCTTGATCTTTACACACCTTTGACTAGCTTAAGTCAGCTCTCTTGAGTTTTCCTTGACATCTCTCTAGTGTTATTATGGCTTTCTATAGTGTGTTATGGAAAGAGGGGCTGACATAGAAAAAGCGTCTGGTCGTTCAGATAGGAATTGGACAATAAACCAAGGCCTGTGTGCTACAAAATCCCTTGACAGTTAGAAATCAAAAACAAGTAAGCTGATGCTGCTGGCCTAGCAAAATTTCCCTCATTGCACATTTCAGGATATTGCCCATCTTCATTAGGTCAATTAGGGCTCCAAAAGGACTCCATTCATTTCATTTCTGTGGTTGAAAGAAAACTAAAGTTGTACTTGCTTTGATGTAATGCACATTGTGTTCTATAATTGAACTCATTGTGTTTGAATTTGACATTCTTGTATATATTGAAACCACTTATGTATGCTCTAAGCCTAAATTGAAAGAATCGTAACAATTTTGAATTTTCTCAACATTTCCTTTGAAAGTTTTTCCATTACTCTGCAGTAAAGGATTATGACTTAAGCCACATCAAAAGAGCTTTTCTCATATAACTCTATATAAATTTCCCTGTTGCGCAATATTAAAATCCGGAATATTGTCAAGTAATGAAAAATCTTGGGAAGAAGTTTTCCGGCACATTGCATCCAGGTTCTATTTTTTGTGTCATTCTGATTTCCAGAACTTTGTAAAGTGACATGGAAGTGACCAGTCTCAACCGCCACATTATACTTGTTTGTTTAAAGGGATTGTAAAGAGGATTTCTAAATTATCGGGGAGACTGATAGCATCAATTTGCACCGTTCCCATTTTTAATCAGATGTCTGTGGTTCCCGCAATTCCATTAAAACTAAGTGTTTGATGCCCAACACACATACAAATTTTAGAAACTCTTTATAATCCATTTAAATGTAGTGGAGTCACATGTCAGATTTCTACTTTTTTTTTATCAGTGCCATAGATGGTCAGCTATTTCAGCTGGTAATGTAAATATTTAGACGACTATATCTAAATGGATCACAAGAATGTTAATTTCTATGATTGAATCATTGTTTTAATCAAGTTGAATGTTTTGTATTTTACAGACTAGAATAGCAGCACTATTATACATGTAGAGAAAACCATGACTAACTGACTTAACTATTATAATACCAGTCATCTAGTCCCATCAAACTACACCAATCAAAAACTATGGAGAATGAACTACACAGACGAGATCATCTTGGGGTCCAAGATTTTGTTTTATTAGAAGATTACAAAAGTCAAGATGCCTTTCTTAACAATCTACGCAAACGATTTGAAGGAAACTTAATTTATGTAAGTAACTGATAATTCATCCTTATTAGTATCCCCCTGGCGTCTAGAATTAAGAACAGAACATTGGTAGGACTTGCCTCGGTTCAAATGGAAATCATTGCCACCAATATATTAAAACCTTGTGCTACAGACTGTGCATGTTAAAGTTCCCTCGACAGTTGGAAATCGAAAAAGAGCAGGCTAATGCTGCTGTCCTGACAAAATTTCCCTCATTGTACCCTGCATGATGTTGCCTGTCTTCATTAGCCCACATGGTGCAGAAAAGTAGGACGTAAAACTCCTGACTATTCATTTGTTTATTTATTTACCGATATATTTAAATATGAGTAAGAAGGCCATCCAAAAGTGTTTTCTTGTCTATGAGATTTCCCTCGTGTCCTTGTCTGAGTTTTCTTAAATCAAAATTTGAAATAAACAAAATTCTGAAAATGATTTCCCCCTAGGAATCTTGCGATTTATGTTTTTTTATATATTAAATTTATATTGCCTATATCTTAAACTAAATACATTCTAGAAACAGTGTTAGAAGTAAGGAGCCTAGAATATCTTAGCGATTAGATCGATTAATGAATATGTGGCCTGGACACACATGAATTTCAAGGCAACTATTTTAAGATGTTTGTTATTATGTTTTCAGACTTATATAGGACCAGTATTGGTATCAGTGAACCCCTATCATGAATTAGATATCTACAATCAAAAATTTATTGAAACATATCGCAATGTCAACTTTTATGAATTACCACCACATGTGTGAGTAGCCATTTTGTTTCCTTTATTCAGAATCGTGACTCAAAATAATCTTAGACTACCTTTGCATGGAAAAGTTTTTTTCAGTACACATAAACAAGAAACAAAATTCCCCCTCAAAACATAATACTAAATAATTCAAAATTTTGACTGAAATTGTCGTCTGTAAAAACAAATAAAATTTTTATCAATGCAGATTCAATCGGCCCCATCACCAGGAATGAATTGGTGCTGCGGCTCAGATTTTGTAGCCTACTCAGAACATTTGAGACCCAGAGAACTCATTTCTGACTAGTCCATTTTGAGTTGCCAAAAACGTACCAATATGTATAAAGACACTGTAAATGAATCAATCTCTGCTAATCTGAAGAAGGTAGCTGGGTCCCAGCCCCCATGGACCCCACCCTAACAACACGGTTGGATTCAATCTATGCCTATCTAACAGCACTATTTTCAAGCTTATATTCTGATTCTTGACAATAATTTGTAAAAATCTGATAACGAACTTGCAAAGACAGTAGCCAATGATTGGTGCTAATGGATTATTGTGATGTAGTATGAAGGATATTAATGAATCAATAGAGTATGTGTTGTTTGAGTGGTAAAATGAGAAATTAATCTAGTAATGAGGTGTTGTTGACTTGATTTCCTTCTTACTAAATCAATAGATCATATTTATTATGCACCAATTTGAATAAAGTTACCCCGAGGGACAATAGGAAACAAGTCACATTTTTGTGGTTTTGTAATGATGTACATTTTACACTCGTTGGTAGTTCATAATGTCAAGCTATTACAAACTTTGTTGTATACCTTGACTGCAATAGCCACCTTTCTTGTATTGATCACAAACTGCAGCGATTTTATTGGATTTTACTCTAGAAAATACAACCAATCAGAGATCTTGTGGTAAAGATTGTTTCAAGATTATGACTTTTTGTTGAGGGCTCTCATGGTCTGTACTGGATAGCGTACAATCCAATCAAATTGCTGATGATACAAGAAAGGTGGCAATTGAAGTCAAGGTATACAACATTCAATTTTGACTTTTTCGTATTTTGAATGAGTTATATTTGTTATAGAAATAAAAGTTCTCTAAATATTTGCTCTTTCAATAAAAAGATCTCAGTTTGAGTTCTCCCTATCATTTTAAGATAAAATTCAGCAGTCTAGTTTGTCTGCAATTAAAGGGAAACATACATATACAAGTGGGAATATAATATAAGAAATTTCATGATTTTTTCCAAAAAATCTTACTTTAAGCTGAAAATAAGAGGTAAAAAGTGATATCAAAAACACATGGTTAATAAAAAAAATTAAATGGTTTGTTTGGGGATAATTTTGATCTATATTTTTTGTAAGATAAGTATCATAATAACCATGGCAACAATCAATATCATATATATTATATTTCAATCTAAATCAAACTTAATGATGTATTATTTAGAGGTTTGTATATGATACTCTTCTAATTATGAAAATGTAAAACTTGCTGTAGGCTATAATGACAGTGGCAGCCCCAGTGGAGCTACATTTTTTCCCCAAAATGTGTCAGAATGCACGAAATTAATTCTATTTTTCAAAATTTTGAACTCCTTTGCAATAGCAAACCCCTAATCTCATATTTGAGTCAATCTACCCCGTCTCCAACAGGCTGCCTAAAATTCAACCCAATATAAGTTTCATAATGAAAATCTCTCCATAAGTTTCTAATTTTAACATGAGTGCAAGTGTAACATGATATTGCATACAAGCACAAACCATCAATGTTATTTCAGCACCTATGATTAATTTTTTTTAAAAAAGCAATAAGAATATGAAATCTGAAAACACAGAAAAATAGCTGAAACAAATGTTTGTGTCGAATAATTAACTTATAGCTGAAGCTTTAACAAGTACTAAAGGATTTTAAAATTTTCCTTTGAATGATATAAAACAAAAGATGTCAGCAGATTGGTTAAAGAAGCATCTTAAAATGAAATTTTATCGAGAAAAAAAAGATTGATCGATATGAACAAAATTATGATTCAAGGTTTTGGCAAAAAAAAAAAAACAATTTGACGTGCTTAAAGCATTATTTAGTGTGGCTTATAATTATTATGATAATTCTTTATAAGAAATAAGTAATAAGGAAATCTATCTGGCACTATACCTTTAAAGGGATTCTTTTTGACCAATTATACCTTAGTCTCAGAAACTCGAATTTTATAGCCATGTCAATCAGTAATAGTATTCATAGCTCACTGTTGATATTTGAGCCTTCAAATCCATGTGTGGCCAGAATTATCTGAGTTTGAAAGTTAAAATGACGACTCGTCAATTTAAGATTATCTCTTATATATAGAAAAGACATATATAGAAATAGAGAGTAAAATTCCTAGTTTGAAGTATTTTTGAAGGAATTTTGCCATATTTGTAGATTTCTAGTAATTCTGAAGAAAATTTACACATTTTCCCGACCAAAATGATGCATCTGTCCCTTTAAGGACTAAAATTTAAGAGCATGAAGTTTTTTGGATGATCGACTTCTATCTATTTACGTGTATGTTGACTTTTTGTCTTGTGCACATCCTAAATCCTAGATAACACGAGTTAAGAAATCAATGAGAAATGTGGTTGTTGACTTGAGAAAGACAATGGTACACTGTTATGTCATCTCTAGAACTATGTTAGTGGATGAGTGGAAGTTATTTTTGGGTTGAATCGTGTAAATTTGAATCATTGTCAAATAAGTAAATTACAGTCCACCCTTTTCACTCTTATGACCTTTCAATTGTTTGAAGACAGTTAGACTTTTAAATATTTCTTGTGTTCATGAAGGTGGTTATTGAAGTTAAATATAGCCTATCTTTAAGATCCACTTAAAAAGTCAATGTATAGTTAGCACAATTAAAGCAAATCCGGGCTAGAGAACTAGTTATCTTAAATATTGTAGGCACTATGTATGCCCATCCATTAAACGCTAAAGTATCTATAGGATTTGGAAAAACTTTGTATAGTTAAATAGAATACAGTAATAAAGATCAAGATTGAAGGCAAGCTTTTTCCCTGATATTAACCCTTTGTTATCTAGAAATAATATTAAAAATGCTATATTATCTACAGATTTTGACAGATTTTCATGAAACTTGGTATTTAAGTATGAAGAATGAAGTTGAAAGAATGAATTTTAACCCACTTGTTAATGCAATTTAAAAAACAACATTTATAAAAATTGAAAAAACTACTACATGTCAAAATGAGTTTAATTAAATGAATTTCCCCTTTTTTATGTTGATTCTAAAAAGTGATTTAACTACTTCTAAACCCTCTCAATAGATAAATAAACTATTTACATAGTTGCATCCTTATCTGGTTATTTTCAACTGATAATCTTCCTCATCAAATTAGTTCCTCATTTCATTACAGAGATACATATAAGATATGTAAATATTCAGTAACCATTTTTTCACATACACAATATGTACATGCATATTCCTGAATATTTAAGATTATCATCTCAAAGATGGGTTCACTTATTTTTATATCCCCTGATATGAATATAAAGTACAGGTGTTCTAATGGCTTGGAAAAATACCAGTTTGTCTCAAATGTCCATAATTAATTCATTATTAGCTAAATTAGAAGAGAATTACCAGCAGAATTCCAATGAGTGACCGATCAAGAAAGGTCAAAAATTCTTTTTTTTGTTTATCCAAACTGTATATACATGGACATTTATGATTGGTTAAAACTCTTAATTATATGCAATAAGACCATAATGATATGATTAAGAGTACATGATAATTCATTAGAAACACCAATTAATCTAATAGTTTGCTTAATTTGACTCTAAAAAAATAAAGAAACCCATCTGTAAGCATGTTTTCTGACATTAAACTAATGGTGTTTTCCAATCAAAAGTTAGAAAATGTGAACAAAAAAATTATTAAACAATGTACATCAGGAAAAGCTATTATATTGAAGCTGGTGCTTCCACTTTTTGAAATATTTTGTTTTCCTTCTTCTAAAGTTTCTTTCCTTTATGTTTCAGATTTGCTATAGCTGATGCCTCGTATCGTTCTATGAGGGGTGAGAATCATGATCAATGTATATTAATATCAGGAGAATCTGGCGCCGGAAAGACTGAAGCCTCCAAGAAAATCTTACAATATATAGCTGCTAGTAGTACCCATTCTGAAGATGTTGAAAGAGTAAAAAACAGATTGTTACAATCAAATCCTATTTTAGAGGTGGGTTGAAGTTTTTCTCACTTTGAAAGCATTCAAAAGCCAGTAACAATTCTTCAGTTTGGACAAGGTTTCACATATATCGAGGGTGACCTCATATATGCCATATTTGGTCATTCAGACAGTGACATTGAAGTCAATTAGTTCAAGCACTTTATATCTACAATAAACAAGCTGAAATAAGAAGTCACTGGATCAACTTTTGGCGAATATCACCACTTGGTTTGGCAACTATTCTCATATTAGGATAAGTTTTTCAGAAATATGCCCACGTTTTCTTGGCAATTTCATTGGCTAACACGCCAAGCGATAATAATTAAAAACCCTATGGAGGTTAGTGGACAAGGAACTATTGAAATGCTAATTAGGGTTTTCTCAATGTTTTCATGCCACTTATTACATGGTGTGAGAACTCCCATAAAAACATGTATGTGGACACTAGCTTTGATAGTTAATGGACATATCTGTTGCATACAATAGAATAATCTTAGTCCAATGAAAACCTTAATGCAAGCTTATACAGCAGAATCCTTATGAAATTGATTCATAGTTCAAAATTGTTCAAGTATTTAGAAGATTTAACTCAGGAAGATTGTGAGACAGTTTCTCATGCCGATGAGTCAGCTCTACTTTAACACATTCTATATAGGATAACAAATTAAAACTATAGAGGATGTTGATTAACATTCTAATAATATTTTTGGCAAACTGTTGTTAATTTAAAATGTTGATGTATGCAGAAGGAATTTAAAACAAACATCATCACTGTCAATATTGTTATAACAACAGAAACTTGTGTTATATATTTAGATTGTCAATATTAACTGTAAACTCTTATGTCACCTCAATTCTATTATTATTCAGGATGTGATTAATTATATTATCTTGTTTGTGCAACATTTCTCTTCCCTTTGTTGTGAACTGATTTAAAAGATTAAGGAACATTTTTGATAAAGCCAATAAAGCCAACCATGACTGTTCCTGATAAAAATGACTATTTTCACCGGTATACTGAATGCCATTTCTGGCATAAAAATGACTATTTGCGCTTTCTTACTGAAGGCCCACAGATGTAAGTGTTCGCTCTCTAATAAAAAAGTGCAGAAAGGTCCACAAAAAGTGAAAATGCACATGTACAGAAGATTTGTAAAGCTCAGCCTGATCAGTTCACCATGATATAATGTTTGAGTAGCATGGCCAGTCCAATCTAATCCTGTCCAGACCTAGACCACCTGCTGATTAAGATTTTTTTCCGACCAGTTACACTCAATCAAATTTGGTGACGAAGATTTCTAAGCAAGGATTGCCGCAATATTTTTATATGGTACTATATTATTTGAGTTAAATATATACTAAAAGGCTAAATTTATACAAAATAATTTAGATTTATTATTGAATGAATTCTGCACTCATATTTAATAAAAAAAATCCCAAGATAAAGGGACTTTTCACATGAGGAAGTATATAAATTATAAGTGAGTAAGTATTTCATAATGAAAAGATATCAGGTGTCATAACAAATAGGAACGAACATTATTTTCTAAAAGGGAGAGAACTGATGTTATATTTTGAGAAGGAAAAATGCTGCTTGATAATTTCAGAATTTCACAGGAAAATTCATTTACTTTAGAGCTACAAGGGGATTGACTAGAAGTAAATTATTTTATTCAAAACTGCAGGAAGCTATACAATGATATATCCAATTGAAATTTCTTTATAAAAATGTTATAACACAAACATGTTGTTACACACTGCGCGATCTTCAGACAACTGACTATTTCAGACTGCGTCCCTACCCTTCTGAATAATATATATCAATTGTAGAGTAATATAGAAATATTAAAACAGAGCCTGAAACATGTTACTCAAAGTTACACACTGTAAGATCTGCAGACAACTGACTATTTCAGCCTGAGTCCCTTCTGAAGATTGACCTTCAGTGAAATTCACAAGCTTATGATTTACTGTTACATATTTTCCAGAGTTTTGGTAATGCTAAAACCAATAGAAATGATAATTCTAGTAGATTTGGTAAATATATGGATATACAGTTTGATTATAAGGTATGTATTTATTATTTATTAAATGAAAGCAAAAATTTTAATAACAATACTTTCAAATTAAGCATTGTGAAGGGGCCACATTTTCTTAAAAAAAGGTGGATTGACATGACTGTCTTTGAAAATATTCATTTGATTTTATGGAAAAGTTGTAATATTCGCACCCTAAAAAAATATTTGTTGGTATATATTTAAAAAATGTGAACATTGCCAGAAAGAAATTGTAAGCCATGGCAAAAAAACATGTATAAATTGAAAGAGTAAGTCATAATATTAATATGACATTTATATAAAAGAAGGTGTTTATCAAAATTCACTATTTAATTTCTATTTGTATGATATATCTATGAGAAGTGATGATAATTTTTAGCCTTAAGGTGACGTATGATTACCATATCACCCTTCAGGCTTTATATTGACATGTATCTAAATTATTTCAAAAAAAAGAATATGGGTTTATGTATGATGATATACTATAAAAAAACACTTTGAATTAATTTATCCTGAACCACGTTATTTCAATTTAAATGTGCTTGCATTAGATTTAAATGTGATTGAATTCAGAGTGTATGAAATGATTTGAAATAGTAATGTTTTACAGTAGAGATCCAAATAATTAGTATTGACTTTGATTTAACCTTTTGAACCCTGAGTGTGAACGAAATATAACTTCATATACTCTGAACTCGTATGACGTTAACGTTGTTAGTAACGGCCAGTATACCGGCTGCAAGGATATACATTGCGTTAGTGTGGGTCTGGAAACCAGCCACTAGAGTTGAAAGGGTTAAAAAGAACAGCATGATATACATGTTTTAGATGAGACAATGGCATAAATTGTGGATATTGAAATCATTTCTGTCCATGGTGGATCTTCCACCAACTTTTCATTTTGCACAAAATAGGCAGCAGTTATGCAGAATGACAAGATCTTGGAGATCAAAGTTTAAAGATGCAGGCACACGAACGGTCTCGGTCTAAGATATTTGTCACCGACTTCGAGGACAAACAAGGAGGAGGTAAAAGTCTCCAGTCTGTTGTTTTCCACTATGGAAAAGGAAAATGAATCTGATTTGACGGTCTGTCAGACAAAAAAAACTTATTTACTTTAACTTGTTTGATATTATATATCCTGTCGGGGACGCGATAATCTTATCATGGAAGCAAGGGTACATGCACGATTTTACTCAAGACACTAATCAGTGACAAAAATCTCCTACCAAGATGTTATGATTATTGCCTTTAACTTGATCAAAATTCTTCAATTTGAAAGCCTGTTGAAACTGTACATCAGTTGTTCAGCAATTTCCATAAAGATTTTGTTTTATTTTATTATTGCAGGGTGCTCCTGTTGGTGGTCACATATTAAATTATTTGTTGGAAAAGTCCCGTGTTGTCCACCAGGGTCAGGGAGAGAGAAATTTTCATATATTTTATCAGTTGTTACAAGGTGGTAGTCCCAGTTTATTAGAGAAATTAAGATTAGATAGAGGTTCTGATGGCTATTTCTATCTTAATCAGGTGAGTTTGAGTTTTTCTAAAAAAAAAATATTTTTACTCTTTTCATGCAGTAGCATGGAGATGTAATGTGATGATGTATTTTATATCTAAGTCCATTAATACCTTGTAGATAATGGTCGTGGAGAATTTCCTTGTAAAGATCAAAATTTTGTGTATAAAATTTGAGTTATTGTAGTGATATTTTTGTTATATTTATGATTTTTTTCTATTCCATTTATAGGGTAATTGTGGTGGTGCTCCATGATGATCAGAAGTCAATATATTTTATTTATAGGGTAATTGTAGTGGTGAACTGTTCCATGATATATTTTATTTGTAAGGTAATTAGAGTTATGAAGTGCTCCATGATAATCAGAATTTTATATATTTTATTTGTAGGGTAATTGTAGTGGTGAAGTGCTCCATAATGATCAAAATTCTATATATTTTATTTGTAGGGTAATTGTAGTGGTGAAGTGCTCCATGATGATCAAAATTCTATATATTTTATTTGTAGGGTAATTGTAGTGGTGAAGTGCTCCATGATGATCAAAATTCTATATATTTTATTTGTAGGGTAATTGTAGTGGTGAAGTGCTCCATGATGATCAAAATTCTATATATTTTATTTGTAGGGTAATTGTAGTGGTGAAGTGCTCCATGATGATCAAAATTCTATATATTTTATTTGTAGGGTAATTGTAGTGGTGAAGTTCTCCATGATGATCAATATTCTATATATTTTATTTGTAGGGTAATTGTAGTGGTGAAGTGCTCCATGATGATCAAAATTCTATATATTTTATTTGTAGGGTAATTGTAGTGGTGAAGTGCTCCATGATGATCAAAATTCTATATATTTTATTTGTAGGGTAATTGTAGTGGTGAAGTGCTCCATGATGATCAAAATTCTATATATTTTATTTGTAGGGTAATTGTAGTGGTGAAGTTCTCCATGATGATCAATATTCTATATATTTTATTTGTAGGGTAATTGTAGTGGTGAAGTGCTCCATGATGATCAAAATTCTATATATTTTATTTGTAGGGTAATTGTAGTGGTGAAGTGCTCCATGATGATCAAAATTCTATATATTTTATTTGTAGGGTAATTGTAGTTGTGAAGTTCTCCATGATGATCAATATTCTATATATTTTATTTGTAGGGTAATTGTAGTGGTGAAGTGCTCCATGATGATCAGAATTTTCGAATTGTACATGAAGCAATGGAAACTTGTGATTTCTCTCCTGAGGAACAACAGGTAAGTTAAATAAATGTCTATTAAATTTAGAAGTCTTTCCTTTGTCCATCTATATCAAATGAGATAATAACTGAAAAACTCTAAAAAATGTCATGCATTTTTCAATAATTATCTTAATGCTATGGCTGCGATGGATTATTGAGTGATTTTGTTTTTTTGGACACTGTGTAAGTCCTCCGATAAAATATAAACTCATTTTGGCCAAGATTAAATATTAAAAATTGTGGTCATCCCAAGAGGTAGTATTACTTTAATTGGATTGTGCTGTAAATGATATAACTGTAATGTTATATTTTCAGGCTTTATACAGTATAGTAGCTTCTGTATTACATCTTGGAAACTTAACTTACAGTGTTACTGATCAGGGTATGGCTAGATTAAAAGATCATTCACAGGGTCAACTAATAGCACAGGTATTACATTAAAGACTATTTCTGAGAAGGTGGATTCTATCTAATTCACAAGCAAATCTATGTGTGTTTTTATGCTTTTTCTAAGGGTGATTTCACTTGCAATCCTTGATCTGATAAAATTTGTATGCATCTTTTGCTCAAGGTCATGTAATATTCAACCAATTAAATGATGTGCTCAATAAAAGATTTCCTTACTATATAACTATATATTTATAAACATTGACTTGTATTGTCTAATCACTTTAAAAAGTGGATTTGATTGTTAGAATGAATTTAGACAACATCTTGATGCTATTGGTCCAAATTCCACAGATGAACTGTAGAAAAAACATGAAATGAAATTTCTTTATCTGCATTTTAATCAGAATAAGCTTGATTGCGAGTATAATTTTTTCAGTATGTTGTTCTGCACTTTAAGTATGATAAAGGCTTTATGAATCAAATGATTAATTTTTAATCTGAACTTGTCCCAAAATGTAAACAAGAGAGGTCGTACTACTTGACAAACTTCAGTAGGGTCACAGTAGTGTTGTCTGAAGAATGCGTTACAACATGTTTCTGGTTTTGTGTAAATCATTCTGATTATTTTGTCAATCATTTGTATATCATGTCTATGATAATCATTCCAGTTACTTGGATGTCAAGAAAAAACTTTTGAATCAGCTTTAGAAAATAGAACTATAGATGCTAGAGGAGAAAAGGTAAAGATGATTATATAACACTAGTTGTGTATGATTGCTTATAAGAATTAATCTTTTTGCCATCTTAGTCATCATTACGTTATTTATGGCACTCACTTACCCTTTCAAGTTTCTGTCTAAAATTTTTATACTCTTTCATGGACTAGTCGTTTTATTTTTTACAAGAATTATTTCTGATGACAGGCTGATAAAACCATTTTCAAAGTGTATTCATATGTTCTGGAACTTGTCCACTACAGGTGGGCACACCAACAGTCATGGTTGGGATTTTTGTAGCTGACTAGAGTCTTGTCAAGAAATTCACTGACTGGCACAGGGACACGAGGAGACAAAAATCTCCAGTTGGTCGTTTTCCACCATGTCAATAATCGTGTGGAGCATGCAATTGAAAGGAAAAATGAATAAATCCTGTCGGGGACACGATAATCTGTGGAAGCATGGGCACACTCTAGAGTTTACTCAATCGGTGACAAAATCTCTGACCAAGATCGATCCTATGCCCGCACCATTACCAACTCTGTAAAGCTTATGAGGAGCTTGATTAAAAAAATGATGGTAAATGATCAAGAAAAGAGAGATCCAGAACATTGGCATCTCAAATAGTTCCTTTTGGTTTTCGGCCAATTTTTAAAGGACTTGGTTAAAGTTTCTTGTTTCACTAACAGCATATAGAAGCTCTTCAACCTTCATAAGAATATTTTTATTTCAGTTAAAAACACCATTAAATGTAGACCAAGCTATGTACGCAAGAGATGCACTAGCTAAGGGTATTTATGATCGTCTTTTTACATGGATGGTACAGAAAATAAATCAAGCTCTGGCTAAGAAGGTAAGATGACATGAATTTTTTAAGCAAAATAATGGTTGTGTGTTTTAATCTCGGTCAATGTGGAAAAGACTGATGACGTTGACTTAAGACTTAAGGGATGAACTCAATAATCAGGAACAAGACGTTTTTTTAGGTTGAAATTACCAAAGTACATTCATATGGCACCAACCATATTCTGGAATAAATGATCACAAGCTTCTTTTCAATATGAAGGTATTAAAAACTCTGTCTAATACCTTGACATCAATAGGCACTTGCAGTGATTTGTTTAGATCGTCTCAACTTGTAGTTGAACGTCAAGGTAATAGACAAGGTTTTGTAATACCTTGACATTGTGAAGATGCATCACAAATATCATAATTAATCTTTAATTGAAGAGCTATAATTATTAGAGTTTTTTTTCCAGGATAAATCAAAATGCTCATTAATGGGATTGTTAGATATTTATGGTTTTGAAATATTTGGTGTAAATAGGTAAGTTTTGCGTTAACAGTCAGCAAGTAAGTTGCAACTGTTGAAGCAGGATCTCCATCA